TTTATTATTAACTGTATCTGATAATAAGACTTACTCCCAAGGATCATCCCCAACAAGAAGAACATCATTCTCAAAATCCACATAAACCAACTTCCATCCCGAGCTTGAGTCATTGAGAAGCCCTTTTAGACCAAACATGCGTTCAATCTCCGAACGCAATTCCTCATAATTTTGAAAACTCGAGACATCAATGGACCTCCCTACTGATCCCGCCTTTTGAATCTGTCCACAAGTATATTTCACCACCATATATTAACAACAAATAATAAGATTCCACAAAAAACGAGCTAGCAAAAATTACCCCTGATATATGTAGCCTACTAGAAAAGTTCCAGTTATGTAAATTTATGGCAAAATTGCATATTAATACACCACCTTCCATGTTTTTCCAATTTAATCATCACCTTTACAATTTTGCAAATTAATACACCACATTTACCATTTTTGCAAATCGATATATCAATGACGGTTCTGTTAACGAAAATCTGACATGGCATTTAGCCACGTCAATGCCATGTTAGGTTTTCGTTAGATTTTTTTAACGGAACCGTCATTCATGTATCGATTTGCAGATATGGTAAAAGTGGTGTATTAATTTGCAAAATTGTAAAGGTGGTGATTTGCAAAAATATGAAATATGGTGTATTAATATGCAATTTTGCCTAAATTTATTCAAATAAACCTGAGATTGTTGTTCATCTACCTTAGTATAAGTACGAAACCGTGGGGCCACCTGCGCCTGAAATGAGCCCGCCTGCAAGAGATTATTATTAGCTTCGTCAAAATCCGCCAGGCTGGCGGTTGTGATCTGTGACTGGACATCCTGAGAAGCCGCGCAAAAGCTGCCGACTAGAAAATCCGAGTGACTCGAGAAATCGACATTCTTTAACGTGCAAAAATCGTCCAATATCGCGTTAGAGACAGAAGGATCGACAACCGTGCTTCCACTGTTTGTACCATCAAGATTTAGACAGCTGTAAATGTCTCCCGTGTTTGTACCACCACTGTTATTGTTATTGTTAATTTGTGGATCGAACAAATCTTGATTGGCAACTGGTGTGGGGAAAGAACTGATCTGAACCTGGCCTGGATACTGAATTTCTTGAGCTTGAAGATTATTACAAGGGTCGAATTGCGAATGTGTGATGCGCGGAGGACTCATTTGCAAAGTCTGCTGTGCGGTGGCTTTAATTTGGTTTGTGGAAGTTAAATTTTCCGGTGAAGTCTGTTTATTCCCAGGTGGCGATACGTTTGTGTTTTGCGGGATATTGTCCTGTGGTCTGTTTATTTCAAGTTTGTCTTTGGTTGGCAGTTGCAAAAGGGAATTTGGGTCTTGCAGAGGAGAGTTTAAGGTGTGAGGTTTTGAAATCATGCTCAGTAACTGCTCAGACCAAAGGCTCGAAATCGAGGGGTTTTGAAATTCAGGGGGCAAATTGTCTGGCAAACGAAAGAAAGGCCGGTTTACCATATTTTCCCAATCTGTTTGTTGCCCTGTTATAAGAAATTCAACAAATAAAGATAAATTAGGAAGATTTTGCTAAAAACTTCTGCTTTCAAGTAAGAATGACTTGATGAAACACAAACCTATGAAAGCTGAGTGGAAAGGACGTTTGAGACATGAAGTTAAAGATGAAAACAGGAAAAGACTCTCAGGAGTCTCAATTTCCCATGGACTAACTCTATTCGGCCTATCACTACACCCAGAATCGTCCCACTCGACCTGTCATTTTAGACGAGTATACAGTTAACATGTATAATTAATTAATTATGCAGAATCAACAAATCTTGGTTTTAATTTAATTTATTCACCTGAAGAGTACGCCATTTGGAGTTGGGCCATCTAAGTGGATCAAGGTCGTTTAATCCTATAATCGTCCCCATATATCTGTACAAAGAATTTAAAAGAAGCTGAATAACTTATGGAGCCATGGATATCAAATTCCAAAAGGGTAGTGTAAAAAATATCAATTAATATGATTTATATTTAATGTTTTGTTTTTACCGCCGTTTACTGGATTCTTCGGTTTCAAACATCATGCCGAACCTCATGCCAATGGATATTTGTGTGCCGTGCACGGATTTTCTATATTTCGCGAATGGGATTACAAATTCTGAGGGACATGCCCTACAACATAATCAAAATTACGAGCAAATCAGCAAATCAAGTTCTTTTGTAATTCACTGCTTTCTTTAATGCAGATTAGGTACCTGGGATTGTAGAAAACAGTAAACGGGCTTCTATTAGCAGCAGCATGAGCAGCTGCAGCAAGTATACCAATGTGCATGCTATCGGCAGACAAAACCGAAGACGGTAAAGTGGTTTGCTGGCGGTTAGCACGTCTAACTCCCAACAACAATTGTGATTTCTCGTCTCTAAAATTGAAAACAATATGAAAAATATTTTAAGTCAATGAACGGTTTTTGTAAGTATAAAGCATTTCAATTCAAGAATGGTGCATCTGAAACTAGTTTGTAGGCACTAGGCAGAAGTAGAGATAGTCCTCACGAGAACCGTGTGTGATAAATTGCTTTCAATTTTTTATTTGTGATTCAAAAGAATCTCTTGTAGTAAATAAATAAAAAAAATAAATGAAAAGACTATTATTTTACCGGATAAATAGAACTGCATCCCCTGCTCTCAGTCGTTTTGCACCAACAAACATGCTCCAACCAGTTGTCAGCAGGTGACGTTTTGGCTGCCCTATACAAGAAAGAATTTTACAGGCAGCAAGATAAGATTTGCACTTCAACAGATCATGAAAGGGAGGAGCAGAAAATTAAAAAGAAATGGAGAAGAATAAAAAAGTCAGGAATTTGGTTCTTTGGACCCGAAAAAATGAGCGTACAATTAAATAAAATAAGGGGAAAAAAAAGGATTAAAGAAAACAAGTAACCGAATAGCATTACAAAAGCATTCTTACCCCTGTAAATATGACGAAAAGTCCAGGTATTATCATGCAAATCTCGAACTACAAGTTCTTGTGTTGGAGGCTGCATTGAGTAATCCTGTAATAGGTATGCATGCCATATAATTAAATGGATCAAATGAAAGAAGAACAAAACAACAGATGATATATTGAGAATATCAATAAATGATATAATCCAATAGTCAGTCAGAAGAAGGAACTAAAACCAAAAGCATACTAATTGTGGGAAGAGTTTCTCAGCAGCTCTCCTAGGAACTGAGAAGCCACCATGCGTGCTCGTATCACTTGCTGTTAAGATTTTGCAGAAAAACTCAGTCGGGTGTTTACTGGGCTTTAGTCCAAAATCTGGTATAGGAAAAGCATCTTTTTCCTGAACCACAAGTCAAAACATAACATCCCGATTTCATATGGCTTACGATTTTTTTTTTTGTTGAATTGCTATGGATTATTATGATTAACAGTACTCAGGCTTACAGAATTCACAGGCTGTAGGCTCATCTGTGCATAGATTTCATCTGTTTCTTTGTCGGCCTATTATAAAAAGACAAAAAAAAAGAAGGGAAAAAAGAAACACATAAATGTACATAATCAGCATAACACGATTTGTTCATGTCAACGAAAACCAGATTCTAAAATTAATTTAATTTAGTTTCTCTCTCTGAAAAAAATAGACGTACGTGGAGTGTAACATTGTGGACTTGGCATAGCAATTGAGACGAAAGGTTCGGATAGTTGGGTGTTTGCACTGTTGCTGTTCTATTAGTAGATATTGCAACCTGTTGAAGATATAAATCGAGAAGCACTTCAAATAATGCACAAGACTGTAGTTAGTGATAAAATTGAATAATTGCATCTTTTGATTCCCTTGAACATCTAAGATAAGCTAAGAAAAATTATGTTACTGCACATCTAACAAAACGTGGAGATCATTTTTCACCAAGTCACTTTGGATCAGATTTAACTGCCTAGTAAACACATAAGACTCAAATTCAACAAGGGTCCCTAATCAATGGCGTTATGATTCGGCACATTTTCGAAAAAGAAATAGTATATATACACTTCAATCAATCTAATCTCACAACCCCTTTTACTTGAAAAGCACCATACAGCTTCCAATTGTTGACCATCACTTTTGAAGGAAGCTAGTGTACATATTACAAGCAGCTAAAAAAATTGCATTTAATGGAAATGAATTCAATGATGGGTACATTCACTTTTTTTTCTCCATTTCCATTCTGTCCGTGTTTATTTACCTTCAAAATAAGCAAGAAAAAATAATTTGGCCATGATCCATAATTATTCTTACCAGAAATTGACTAAATAAAGAAGAAAAACCTGTTCACTGTGCCCTTGTGGGAAATAATACACCAGGCTTCCAATCTGAGGCAAGGAGACCAATGGGCCAGCACAGGCATGCCATAACTCAGAGTTTATTGATTTCTTTGCTCCTATTATATATTCAATTCCACAATTAATACAGAAAAATTACTATTAATAGCCAAAAAGGAAACACAAATTAATTANCAGCAAGGGTCAGAAAGATTTAATCATTTTATCAGCAACCCGCAATTAATTTCCCAATTACTACGAGAACTAGAATAAAAATCTACCCCAAGAAGGTACTCATTCTCCTTAAAGAAATCACTCACGAGTACATTTTCTTGGAGGAAAATATGAATAACGAGCCAAGACAAAGATATTCAGAGAATCTAGTGGCCCATGAAAGGAACTTATGAAGAAGAGCATGCACTTAAATCCAAAACCAAAGGAACAAAAGGGAAAAAAGAAAAAAAAAAAAATCAGAGAAAAATAAGTAGCTGGAAAAAATTCAATTGTGGGGCTTTATTAGTTTCTCTCAGCAGCAACCCATCGAACAGCTTACAGGCAAAAGGGTAATAAAAAGTTAGAAAAGAAAAGAAAAGAAAAAAAAAAGTAAAGAAACACACACATACACCAAAGCTAAAAAACGCCCCACCAAATGATTTAAGGGGTCAATTTTTTCGCAGCGAAAAACCACGCGGACCAAAAGTGTGAGTGGTTAGATTGTCAAAAAGTGTCTCTCTTTCACCCTTTCTTCCCGTTGTTTTGTTTTGCATTCTTTCTCTTGATGATTCTTCTAAATAAGAAAAATTGACCTTTCGATGCTAAGGTTGGCGCTTGAGAGAACAAAAGCCTTCGCCTTTGTCTTTCTCAAAACACCATATTACCATAAGGCATAAAGCTTCAATCTTTTTCTTGCCCTTTTCATCTTCTCCCCTCCTTTTCTCTCTCTCTCTCTCTCTCTCTCTTTTCACCAACAATTTCATTAATTTAAAAATATTCGTTCCAAAACTGGCAAAGACCGTGCATGCTCTTAGCCAGCGGATAAACCTGCTGATTATAGTCGATTCCGTTGTTAGATTCTATTTTATGCTGATAATTAAAAAAATAAAATAAAAATTGAAATGTAAAGTGAGCATTTGCAAAAGCTGAGGTAGATAACAAAACTACCATTTTCATACAAGTTCGTACAGTATAGACAACTTTGATAGCTCACGTTATGAACTACTCCAGTATACCAGAAAAATGTTAAGAACGAGCCATTTATTAGTCGCTTTTATTTTTCATTCAGTCACTTAACCAATCAAATTATTACTAGGAAAGTGGCATTTAATTGTATTTATTTTTCATTGCGTCACTTAACCAAACAAATAATTAGGAGGATTTTACATTCTCGCAATTAAGTTTAAAAATAAATGTATGCGCACAGCTCTATTCGTAGAGATGAATCAATTGCATGCCTACTTTCATATTTTCGTGCAAATTCATCTACCACTACCGTTAGATGCGGATCCAAAAATTTTCATGAGACATGGCAAACAATAATTTGAAAAAATTGTAACAATAAAATTTTATTTTGGGTCCCACCGAGCGTGCTAAATTTGTAATAATAAAATTTTATTTCGAGTCCCACTGGGCGCGCCAAATTTTTAACAACAAATTTTATGAAAAACATAAATCTTTTGTACAACATGAATATATTTCGATTAAACGATTTTGCGGGTACAATCTCTATATGTCTCATCTGATTCTTCTTTTCTTGAATTTGGGCTTCGGATCTTGAAAGATGGATTTGATGGTTGGATCTCCTTTGGACTTGATCTTGAATTTCTCTAACTTTGATGTGAGGGTCATGACTTATTCCCATATTAAATGTTAGGACATGATGTGACTGAAAACGGACTTCTTGAAGGACTTGCTTCTTCGATCTTCCTAAAATTTTGATTCTAGCTTGAATAATGTTGACTCGAGGGCTTGAGAGCTTTTTCCCGGACCAAACGCTATGTTGGTTGAACTTCTCGACGAACGTGAGTTGAATGTCGTTGATATTCTTGGAATGATTTGAGAGGAATGGATGTCACTTCATTATTTATTAGAGCCGCCACATATTTTCTTCTTCTTCTTGGCCTTCTTCTTCATTGAACGGGCTTCGGCGGTTCGAATGCTTAGTTTCGGATTGAATGCCGATTTTCAACTTGAATGCCCTTGGATCTTCAAGAGGGTTCTTGAGAGCTCTTGAATTTGAGACTTTGATTTTTGAGGTGTCATTTTGTGGCTTTCCTATTTATAATTGTAGGAGAGAGAGCCTTAGAGAAGAAAACTTCAATTTGATTGGTTCTTCATGATTTGATATAATCTCTTTTCTTATCATAAGATTTGTTATCATCATAAGATTTAACTTGGCGGGAAAGACATATTTACTTCATTAATTAAATATCTTATTTATCTCGAATTTATGTCCATAAATAAATAAAGACACTAATTAATAAAATATTAAAATTTCGATGTCTACAGAAATTTTTAACCATATTCCACAAAGTACTTATGTTAACAATTAAATAAATCGTTGAAATAATTGGGTGTTGAGGGTTTCCCTATTTAATTTGCCTTTGACTTGATGCTAAAAAATGAAATTGAGAATGAGGTCTGGTTATTTTATTTTGTGTTTTTATTATTATTAAGAAATATACCAAAAATAATTTACAATCCTTTTTCCTTAAATTTTTCGTAATAAGAAATAAACAAGTCATTTGAAATATAATTTATTAACTTAAGAAAAGCCTATTTGGGCAAATAAATATAATTTATTTGCCTTTTTGTTCTTGTTATTTTATAAAGATTTTCTTATGGAATATCTTCTTATAGATAAACATAGAGTTTTTCATTGTCAATTTCTAACGCTTTGTAATTCTAACATTTGTATATATTATCATTTTTTATACATGATAACTTAAATTAGTCATATTTTGACGATATATAACTTGACATTCATATTTTATATGTAAATTAAAATAATTATATCTATCTGATCACTAACAATAAAAATTTAAATATTTATCAATTATAATTGAAAAATAATAAATTTATCTATCAAGCTTATTATATGGCATAAGTACTAAAAATGTTATAACATAATATCCTCAAATTTGACCGGTAAGGTGTATCAATTTAAATAAAAATAATAATGTTATGTTGTAAAAAAAATTTCAAATTTTAAAATAAAATCTTGTATTTATATTTTCACACGTATTAAATATAAAATATTTATTAGCACATATTAACTATGTTAGCACAAAAAATTGAGCCCAGGCTCGCCTATATCTGTGTCCACCCCTGTCTACCGTGAGTTATATAAAGTGTATTGTTGTATTGTAGGTTATGTTTAGGTTCAACTTAAGGTTAAAGTCCATAT